TGGATTATGTGGTTATGAATTGACGCCGTTTAAATTAAATGGAAAGATAATCAAAACCAGGTCATTAACTATGTTTTTTGATTCAAAGGGGCACACAGTGGGAAATTAAGGGAACCAGTTAAAAGAAGTCAATTGGACTGAAGAGCACAAGGACTTAAAAGTGGAAGAGGCTTGGAATTTCTTTAAATTAGCTATACAAAAATTATCTGCAATACGTAGATTCCCCAAGAAAGGGGAAAAAACTTGTCGGAAAAGACCCGGACCCAACTCAATGAATAGCCACCTCAAAAAGGTTATTGGGAGTAAGCAGAGAGCCTATAGGAAAGGCTACATTTATGTCAAGGAGGTCACCTCCATGACATTCTCTGCTTCAGCCCCAGAGGCTGCAGGACTCTGGAGCTGAAAGCCACTGGGGCCGTGGCAGGGTTCCAGCAACAAGTGACAGGGGGCCCCCTACGAAGTTCCAGCAACAGGGGACAGACTCCTGAGGGAGCCCTCTTCAGGGTTCCAGCAATGGGCAGCAGCCTTGCACAGGGGGAAGGGGATGCCTTGGTTGAGCGGCTGGGGGTGTCCCATTTTCTTTTTGGGAAATATGGTTACCCTGCAGCTTCCAGCCGCCGTGGGCGGAGGGGGAACCCCACAGCTCCCAGCCACCACAGTGGTGCGGGAAACCATGGAGTCAAAGTAGCAAAAATCACAAACAGGTCACAGCGTCCGTGAATTTTTGTTTATTGCCCGTGACCAGTCCATGATTTTTACTAAAAATAACCATTACAAAAATCTTAGTCTTACTTATAAGCAATAGAAAAAGGGACTGATTAGCAAAGAAAACTACATTGTGGAGGTTGGAAAATGTTGGAATAAAGCAAGAATTTCTAAAAGTCAAGCTGAATTAGCTCTTGCCATGGAAATTAAAACAAACAACAGTTTTTAGTTATAAAAACAAAAAGAATAAGGAAGGGTGTGGTTGGGCCACTATGGGGAGAAGATTAAAAATCATTTAGGTATGCCCCCAAAACTAAATAGTTTGCTTTGGTTTTCAGTAAGGATGATAATATGGAACATGGGCATGAAGGCCAATCAAAACACCACACAGAAATGGAAATCACCATGGTGGAAGAAAAACTCAGAGCATCATGTGCTCAAATCGAGTGGCCAGATAATGTCCATCCCAGAATACTGAAAGAACTCGCATACGATATTGCTAGTCCAGTAGCAACAAATTTCACTAAATCTATCAAGTCATAATACTGTATGACTGGAAAATAGCTAATGTTGTACTACATTTAAGAAAGGGGAAAATGACCTGAGCAATTGCAGACCTGCTAGTCTAACCTCAGTAGTATTCAAGACTTTGAAACAAATTGTGAAGTATATAATAATTAAATTAATGGAGGCAAATGGAAAAGAGGAGGTAATGAAACAAGGATTTACCAATGATAGATCATGCCAGACTAACCCAATTTCCTTCTTTGAGAAAATAACTGATTTTTTTAGGTAAGGAAAATGTAGTAGATCTAATGTACCTGGACTTCAGTAAAGTATCTGACACAGTTCCACATGGGAAATGAGTTCAAGATGATGGGGATTAGTACAAAAATTGTAAGGTGGGTAAGGAACTGGTTTAATTGGAGACAGTAACAGATTGTGCTGAAAGGTGAATTATCGGACTGGAGGGAGGTAACTAGTGGAGTTCCTCAAGTATCAATCTTGGGACCAATCTTATTCAATATTTTTATTAACGACTTTGGCATAAAAAGTAGGAGTGTGCTAATGAAATTTGCTGTTGATACAAAGTCGGGAAGCCCCGTCAATATAGAGGAGGATTGGATTATTATACAGGAAGATTTGGATGACCTTGAAGACTGGAGTAACAGACGTGATAAAATTCAATAGGACAAAGTCTAAGGTCATGGACTTAGGATCTAATAATAAGAGCTTCTGGTACAAGCTAGGGTCTCATCAGTTGGAAGCAACAGATGAGGGGGAAGACGTGGGTGCATGTAATGCAGCTGCAAAAAAGAAATGTGGTCTTAGCATGTATCAGGCAAGGCATCTCCAGTAGAAATAGAGATGTATTAATGTTATTTTACAAAGCACTGCACAGTCAGGATCACTTCCATCTAAGCTATCACTAAGTTTTCAGTTCTGTGATCAATTCCTCTTTGTCAAGATGAAGTCTAATATAGAATGTTGCCATTTTGGATGCAAACAGAAAACAGCAAGTCTTAACACTTTTTTTTTTTAAAAAAAGGTAAGTGTAATTTTCAAATACATCATTACACACTGGGTCAACAAAGTAATCACAATGCTACCTAAAAACTTCCTCAGATGTGGTTATCCCTCTAAGCCCTTCACTTTCTCCATTCCCTTTTGGTGACAAATGCTGGTCTTAAATTTTAACGAGCAAAAACAACAAACTCGGGAACTGGATTCTCCCTCTCTTTAGCAAGGAGAGGGAATAAAACCGTGTAAGTCACAAATAAAGGTGTTGCTAAAAGCAAAACCTCAGCAGCAATTTCCTTAAGGCATGCTCCTTTCTTCCTCCTGTACCTAACAGGATATATTACTCACCTCAAATCTACCTCCTCCTTCCTGAAGAGACAGCTCAGTCCAGAACATCATACACTTCTCCCAATTTAACTGTTTTTTAATATATATATTATAATAAAGTTATATCCCTTTATACAATATATATATTGTATAAGTAGGGGCATAGCGAGCAGATCGAGGGACGTGATCGTTCCCCTCTATTCGACATTGGTGAGGCCTCATCTGGAGTACTGTGTCCAGTTTTGGGCCCCACACTTCAAGAAGGATGTGGATAAATTGGAGAGAGTCCAGCGAAGGGCAACAAAAATGATTAGGGGACTGGAACACATGAGTTATGAGGAGAGGCTGAGGGAGCTGGGATTGTTTAGCCTGCAGAAGAGAAGAATGAGGGGGGATTTGATAGCTGCTTTCAACTACCTGAAAGGGGGTTCCAAAGAGAATGGCTCTAGACTGTTCTCAATGGTAGCAGATGACAGAACGAGGAGTAATGGTCTCAAGTTGCAGTGGGGGAGGTTTAGATTGGATATTAGGAAAAACTTTTTCACTAAGAGGGTGGTGAAACACTGGAATGCGTTACCTAGGGAGGTGGTAGAATCTCCTTCCTTAGAGGTTTTTAAGGTCAGGCTTGACAAAGCCCTGGCTGGGATGATTTAACTGGGAATTGGTCCTGCTTTGAGCAGGGGGTTGGACTAGATGACCTTCTGGGGTCCCTTCCAACCCTGATATTCTATGATTCTATGATCCCATGTATTTGCAGAATAAGGGACTTATACCCACCCCCCAACAAGTTTTAATTTACTGTTTTTACTTAAGCAATAAAATGATAGCTATACAAAACTCTAGCGAAGGGTGCCAAGAGGGAGAGAATGGCTTTCTGAAACAGCAGAGCAAAACTTAAGAAAAAATCTTTAAATAACTAACGTATATATTTATCTTTAATATTTTAATTATAGGCAAATAATTCAACTGATTGTCTTTTTTCTCAATATGGTTTTATAGGCTTTTTTTTTTTCTTTTTAGAAAAAATGTGTAGGCCTTACATCAGGCTGTTTTAGAGTCCTAATTTGTGTACAGAATGATATATTATGACTTTTCCTTTCAGCTCATGCCTGAAAAGGCATAATAGGTATGACAATCTCAGAAGCACATACTGATCACATTTTAGCTCGATTAGGTTGCTCGTCTGGTTTCGACTCACAAAAAGCAATGAAATTCACAATTAATTTTTACTCCCGTCACAGTTAATACCATATGAGCCACAATGGCTCAACTGAGCACAGTAAATGACAGCAAAAAGATTAAGTTCTGAGCCTCTTCTCAAGGAGGACTAGTTTTCTAGCAACTTTAAATTGTCTCGTTTATGTAGGTTTACATCAAATCCATAACCTTTTAATATTCTGTGTGTTAAATAAGGTTTGATGGACTGTTATAGTAGACAAGTTTGGTTATACAGAACTAGCATTTAAAATATTCTAACTGAATTACAGTAGTTAACAGTATATTTTATATCCCATAAAAAATACCATTAAATTTAAGATGTTAGTGTGAATTCTAAATCACATCCAAATAAACCAGCTAGCCTGAATAGGAAACATCAGGCAATAAAAGAGATATTGATAGCTTTACTGCAATACTCTTCACAGCTCTAATCTGACTAAAGCATGAAAAGATTGTCTTCTGTTCTCCATATGCTATAGCATTAAAGGCATAAAGTTATACATACTAAGAAATAACTAAAGAATTCTTAGTACCTTTTTCTGCTTCCACTATTAACCTCCCATGCACCCACCCAAAGCAAAAACAGATTTACAATAATACTAGACAGATCAGACATGGCTTTTAAAATATGGTGTGTTTCGTCATTTTTTGAGGAGTGAGGAAAAAAAGTATGAAGAACATGACAATATCTGTAGATAAGAAATATTTATCCTATGCAATGTCTAAGTCAAAGCTAGTTCAAGACAAGTACATGGTCATCTGCCAGCCAGGAAAAAAAAAAAGCATATTCAATTAAAATGAACAAGTCCCACTGTTGTCATGAGACACTACAAAATACTGAAGATACTGAGCTGACATGAAAATATGAGGGTTGGCTGCATTCAACAGAAACTGCTTACTATTATTTTGTACTAACACATTATGAAGATATATATCCTAACAGAAATACGATAGAGCAACCATAGCATTTTGCTTCTTAAAAAATATTTTTGTACTTTAAATGCTGAAATGTCACAATCCACAAACTCTGAAGATATCTGATGGGGGAGGACGGGTTCCTAAGGAACTCATTACAGATGGAACTCAGCAGTCTTAACCATGTAATTTTCAGGTTCAGCTAAAATGTCTGCTGGCATATGGAAAATAAAACCATTATATTCATTTCAGTAAAAGTCCTGTTGCAGTCATTTTTATAAAAGTAACAGAGAATTTCATTATTTATTACTTACCGAGTCCTAAAAGATCAATAGTAGGTTCTGGTGTTTTTTTCGGACTTGCTTTAGGCTCTAATTGCTGATCCTCTTTCTTCTGAGGCTTTAGAAAGAAAAATATTCACACTCATAAATAAGTTTTAAGATATATGGTACAAGGCTTCTTTAATAGGAATAAGGATTTTAAGATTTCTTGAATACATCACAAATAAAATTTGTTTTCTAGACTAACTTTCCATATTGAAGTCTGATTACAGAATCTGTTTCCTAATGAGAATAAAGTACATGTGGAGGAGATGTGAAAGGAAAAAAAACTGAAACATACCCTTATTCTTTCACCAGTTTTATGAAAATTCTAAAAACAATATTAACTACAGGATTATTTACTGGGTTTAGGACACTTCTAATATTTAAAAACTGCAGTGAAAAGTATAATATTAAAAAACTAATGGTTAATCATTTACTGTTAGGAATCACCGTTACTGAGTAAAAGAATGATTCACTCATTTTGCCCAAGTTATTTATAGACTAATTTTATTAGACCAAATTAATTATATAGTTTTCCCTGTGTGGAAAAAAGCGCCAGGTTTGTAAGCTTTTAAAAAGTTGAAAATAAGAAAAATTGGGGAGTGGAGGAGGTTATGAGACTTGTAAAGAAACACATTTGACATCCCTGTTGGAAGAGATTATTATTCAAACGGCAGACTTTTCAGCTGCTAGCGAGTGTGGAGGTGGCATTTGGGTCTGCAAAAACCCACGTTCATAGGCACGCTTAATTTGATAGATTTAGAAACAAAGAATCCTACCTCCCCCCCCACTTAAAAAATGAGACTCCTAGTCTTTTTCTTGCAGAGACCCTTGAAAATGTAAACTGATCTAAATAGAGCATGAGGTTTGACAGTCTGTCACATCCTAAAGATTACAGGTTGCTTACATTTCCTCCCCTAACAATTACTCAGGGTTCACTATTGGAATGTATAAAGACCTGGACCATAAGTCCCTCAATTTCTGGAAGGATCACAAGTTAGTTTGCAGCAGCTGGATGTAGTGATACACAGGCTGTCATTAATGCCACTGCAAATTCTTCTAATACATATTTTAGGATAGTATTTTTTCCTATATTCATCCCAACAGTGTATATAGTTAAATCTTTTTTTCTGTTGCCCAGTGAGTATGACCTCTGGCAAGGAGAGGCTGCTCAATAGCACAGCTGGCAGAGTGGTCTAATTGCAGACTAGGCATAGGGCTGAGAACCAATGTATCCTGCATTTTAATCCTGGCTTTAACAAATGCCCTCTGTGGCTTTGGTCAAGTCACTGAGCCTTTCCACATGAGGGCTTTCCTAGAATTTCCTAGGAAATTTGCAGAGGTGCACATGAAATTACAAGCCCGTTAGCAAGAATTTTTAATCAATCTGTAAACTCAGGGGTTGTACTGTATGACTGGAGAATTGCTAACATAGTTCCTATTTTTAAGAAAGGGGAAAAAAGCGATCCGGGTAACTACAGGCCTGTTAGTTTGACATCTGTAGTATGCAAGGTCTTGGAAAAAATTATGAAGGAGAATGTTAAGGACATTGAGGTCAATGGTAATTGGGACAAAATACAACATGGTTTTACAAAAGGTAGATCGTGTCAAACCAACCTGATCTCCTCCTTTGAGAAGGTAACAGATTTTTTAGACAAAGGGAACGCAGTGGATCTAATTTACCTCCATTTCAGTAAGGCATTTGATACGGTTCCACATGGGGAATTATTAGCTAAATTGGAAAAAATGGGCATCAATAGGAAAATTGAAAGGTGGATAAGGAACTGGTTGAAGGGGAGACTACAGCGGGTCACACTGAACGGTGAACTGTCAGACTGGAAGGAGGTTACTAGTGGAGTTCCTCAGGGATCGGTTTTGGGATGAATCTTATTTAATCTTTTTATTACTGACCTTGGCACAAAAAGCAGGAATGTGCTAATAAAGTTTGTGGATGACACAAAGCTGGAAGGTATTGCCAATACAGAGAAGGACCGGGATATCATACAGGAAGATCTGGGTGACCTTGAAACTGGAGTAATAGTAATAGGATGAAATTTAATAGTGAAAAGTGCATGGTCATGCATTTAGGGATTAATAACAAGAATTTCTGTTATAAACTGGGGACACATTACTTGGAAGTAACAGAAGAGGAGAAGGACCTCGGAGTATTGGTTGATCACAGGATGACTATGAGCCGCCAATGTGATATGGCAGTGAAAAAAGCTAATGCGGTCTTTGGAGGCATCAGGCGAAGTATTTCCAGTAGAGATAAAGAGGTGTTATACAAGGCACTGGTGAGACCTCATCTGGAATATTGTGTGCACTTGTGGTCTCCCATATTCAAGAAGGATGAATTCAAACTCAAACAGGTATAGAGAAGGGATACTAGGATGGTCTGAGGAATGGAAAACATGTCTTACGAAAGGAGACTCAATGAGCTTGGCTTGTTTAGCCTAACCAAAAGAAGGCTGAGAGGAGATATGATTGCTCTCTATAAATATATCAGAGGGATAAATACCATGGAGGGAGAGGAATTATTCAAGCTCAGTACCAATGTGGACACAAGAACAAATAGATATAAACTGGCCATCAGGAAGTTTAGACTTGAAATTAGATGAAGGTTTCTAATCATCAGAGGAGTGAAGATCTGGAACAGCCTTTCAAGGGAAGCAGTGGGGGCAAAAGACAGATCTGGCTTCAAGACAAAGCTTGATAAATTTATGGAGGAGATGATAGGATGAGATAGCCTAATTTCGGCAATTAATTGATCTTCAACTATTAGCAGTAGATATGTCCAATGGCCTGTGATGGGATGTTAGATGGGGTGGGATCTGAGTTACTACAGAGAATTCTTTCCTGGGTATCTGGCTGGTGAGTCTTTCCCACATGCTCAGGGTTTAGCTGATTTGGGGTCGGGAAGGAATTTTCCCCCAGGGCAGATTGGCAGAGGCCATGGGGGTTTTTCCCCTTCCTCTGCAGCATGGGGCACAGGTCACTTGCTGGATGATTCTCTGCACCTTGAAGTCTTTAAACCACGATTTGAGGACTTCAATAGCTCAGATGTAAGTTAGGGGTTTGTTACAGGAGTGGTTGAGTGAGATTCCATGTCCTGCGTTGTGCAGGAGGTCAGACTAGATAATCATGATGGTCCCTTCTGACCTTAAAGTCTGATTCTGTGTACTCATACAAATGTCCTTAATCTAGACAATCCTTTATGTTCCCTATGTACAAAAAGGAGATGAACAGGAAGAGGGCTACAACAAAGTTAACGTTTGTGAAGTAAGTTAGTTTGGATAAAATTCATCATTGTATTCTAACAACCCTCCAGTGGCTGGGGGTCCTGCAGACTACAAATACCCAGTTTATTTAGACAAGTATCCCTTGAAAAAGTATGTATAGAAATGCTTACATTGAGTTTAGACCCCAGACTAACAGGTGGGCTGTAGTTAGAGGAGACGTAAAGATCTCCACCCCACTAAAGAATAGCGTTCATATCAGACCAACATTTTTTTTAAAATATGTCAAACTTACATATAAACCTACTTTTATCTGCAGTTGTATTTATAAAAATCTAGTTAGTATTGAATTTAAAAAAATCATAACCTAATTAATATTGAAAAGTAAAATTATGAACAGCAAGGATTCAAAGAAAAATCTAATGACAGAAGAAAAAGGGCTCCCACAACTGAGTATATTTTCAATGAAATTTAAATTAGAGCTAGAAATATTCATCACAATTAACCATAAATGTTTCACGAAAGGTGCATAAATTATTAATTACAAAAAATTATAAACACCTGGATTTTTTTCACCTGCTTTAAGGAACACTATGGTCTGTCATGGGTCACTGCAGCTGACAGAAGAAATGCAGTTGACATGTTGCTTGTGTTATAACCTTAATATTTTTAAAAAAGCATTGACTGCTTTTCTCAACATATACCAACTGTTTTGAAAATAAAGCTAGGTTAAAATTGCACTAAACGTGCAAAATTTTCATTGCCTCAAATTAGGCTGATTATCAGGAATCTGAAAACAGCATTTTGAAACGCATTAATGCATGACAGGGTTAGTCTCAAACGCAACCCTACCATGTGTTCATAAAAAGCAAAGCACTGACTTGCATTCATTAGTAAGCACTAGACAGATGGAATTTAAATAATATTCCCCTTTGCTTAAAAACATTGATTATTACAGGAAATTAATCTCATTACTTTAAAAACACAGTAAGAATATTTTATCGAGTCAATTTTTTTTGGTCAAATAATGTTTTAATTATATGACTCTGTTTGCTTCATAAGATCTTTTATTACACATATAAATAGGCCAGATCAGGAACTGGTAGTAAAAAGAGTTTACAAGAAAAACTAACACAAATGATAAACCCCAAATCAGGAACTGATGTGTTTTCAATTTCTCTTGGGAATACTGTACAACATGATCAAACTTCCCCACCGACTACAACAAAAAAAATCAGTGGCATTTTACCGTGGAACAATATGTACTGTACAGAATTTATATGTATATGTACTGTTGTGAACTTATGCTTTTTTTTTTTTTTGCAAGTTGTGATATTTGGTGTTTTACTTAAATCCCCAATTCCAGGAGACATTTGATTATGTGACAATCTTAGCTTTCAACTAAATTTCTAGTTCTCGTGGTTGCAGAGAAAAACTCAAAAATGTAACCCAAGGACACTTTAAAGACTCAAATCAGAAGGCAAATATCCCACCCCCCAATTTATTATTTTTAAATCTCATGACTTTTTTAATGTTTCTGGTTGGCCATATTGTGTGTGCTTTTTCTCACATTCTATTACAAGCAATAAATCCTTGCTCTTCATGCACTGCATTAAATCTCTTAAAAGTTGTTTCAAACGAATTTTGGCAGTGCTCTTTTCCTTAAGTAAATTTTTCACTAAATGAACAAAATTTTGATTGATAATTTAGTGAAAAAATATTTACAAGATTGTGGGAAAAGCTGACAAAGAACCTTAAACATTAAATGTAAAAAAGTATTTGCAGAAAACATTTGAACAGTTAATGCTGAAATGTCCTGCAGCTTTTAAAGGATTTATTC